ATCTAACATAACTAAATCAGTAATTTATGCTCTTAATACAATATATTAATATTAATTGGAATAAACCAATTTGAAAACCAATACTGTACTGTATATGAAAATAACGAAAATCACTCTTACGTAAATCTGACCTTGCATACTTGGCCAAGTAGTGCAGCCTAGCTATTAGGTACAACATTATTATACAGTATATTATATTATATAATATATATATATATATATATATATATATATATATATATATATATATATATATGTACAAAGTACAAAATTCAATAACCTATAGCCAGCCAAGATATTTAAAAAAAATAACATCTTTATTCTACATTTGATAAACCAACCTCATCTCGGCACTAAAATAGGAGGAATTCTGCTAGCATTAATTCCACCTCTTATGGGACTAAACAAAATATTTTGTACCAGTTAATGAATTTGAAGTACAGGGTACTGAGATAAAAGTAGTGAGCGTCCCTTAGGAGGTGAATGAGATGCAAGCGTGGCATAAACATAAGCATAACCTGGCCGCGTTAGAGTGCCTGTACAGTCATAGCGTATAAAAGTACATTCTTGCGGTCCCGCGACACTTGATAACCAGGGCGGTCAGGGAACACAGGGCCAATACGAATGTATGGCAAATGAACCAGAAAGAGCCTGATTGGTGCACCAGCAAGCAGTGATGAAGCATAGCATTAATAGAAGCTTAAGGCTAATGGACCAGTAAGAAAGCCTGATAAGTACTGGTATATTATTTATAACCAATACATTGAAGATTGCCCAAGATATGGAGGTACGCAATCAACCTTAATTATTTTTCAATGAATTTTCCTCTGTATATTCACAGAAATTCCTGAGTCAATCTTTCATAATATTCATTCACCCTTCTCTTATACCCATTGTGACGGTCTGGTTCTCATTCACTCATTAACGCAGCAATTAACTTTAGCTTCCACAGTACTAATGCCAGATTTCTACAGAGTGCCTTTTAGTTGTTCATCTTAGTTTGTATATAATGTAATCAATGAATTTTGACTACCTATTATTAAACCAAGTAAATTCCTAAATTTTAAAATTTCCAGTATTGTATAATTTTAACCTATTTTTGCACCATGTAAATTAATATGTAGAACACTCTTTGGTGCAACCTATCAGTGCTCTGTTATAATCTAAAGGTACATTTTGTATATAAACTAATAAAACTCCTCTATATAGGCATGTGTGTAGGGGGTGGGAGGAGGCATGGAAAAATATGAGAGGCATGTGTCCAAGAGTTACCCATTTGTGACAGCGGCCTTGTGTTTCTCGCGTGGGTTTGCTCCCAGGACCGCCCAGGTCCTGCTCGTGTCGAACGGGAGCAGACAAGTTCAAAAATTCGGGTCGCTATTTCATGCACTTTCGCTTGAGAGCCCCCTTATCCCAAGTGTGTGTTTGCCTCCAAGTGTGTGTGCGCCTCAAGTGAGTGCTTTGTGTTCCCACTGATCTGTGAGTACTAAATCCTTAGTTTAGTAACTTGATTCTTTTTTCAAATGTGAATTATACTGTATGTACGAGTTTTATTTCTATGCTTCATTTATTCAAGGTTAACAAAGCCTCAGATGATTTTTTTGTTTTTTTTTAATTTTCCTCTTGCTTTGAGCAACCAAATCTCTTTCGTAAAATATTTATTTTTATTGAACAGCACCGTTATTTCCCCCCTCGTTAACTTCATTATTTCCTCAAATTCGTTATTGCCTCCTTGCTACCCTGTAATTATTGAATGCTTGCTTACCTCTTATTATTCTTTCCTTTCTTCCTTTATTATTCTATTCTTGCATATACAGTAACTTAATATTATATCCTTAATATTTTCCCTCCATTATCTTCTTGCTAACCTCTCAATTTGATTTCCTTCACGTCTTCATTATTAATAGTGATGGGACCAATTAGTCAGAATTGGTATCGAGAATCTGAAAAATTAAGCATTTTTCAGTAATTGGAATCTAGAGAAATCTATAATTTTTCCAATTCTTAAACTATTCGTTAACATTTAATAAAATTAATTTTTTGAAGTAATAATTTAAATTTTTTTAATTATTATCATTTAACAACTTTAGTATTATACTCTAAAGTGTTGTTTTATAACCTGGCAACCAGCTTTAAAGTCATTGATAAACAAATAAATGGAATATAAATGACCAAGAGCACATATAATTCATAAATATATTGGATAAATGATAGCTGTTGACTTAGAACCTTTATTGTAGAAGATATGGAGTTTACAAGACTCAAGACTTCAAACTATCATGAACCCAAATTATCAAATTCCTTCCAGAAAATATTAAAAGAATATATTGTGCAGGATATGTATATGAATTTTAGAAACAAGATACAGGAGGAAATTAAGTTCTACACATTTATCCTTTACTTGTGACTGCTGGACCAACAGAAAAGCAAATAATCATTGGATTTATCAATTGTTTTCTATTAAATCTATTATATTATTAATACAGTTACCATGCTCATAATGCAAGTCATTAATTTTTTTCCAAACTAAAATACAAACTTTTCAGAAAAATACATAGCCAATTACATTTTTGGAAAGAATTGGAATCAATAATTTTATTGGAATCGAGACTTTATAGTGGAATTTGCATCAGTATTGGAATCGTTAGAAATTTTAGGATCATCTCATCACTACTTATTATTCCCCTCTTGTCTGTCTTCAACCTATCTCAATTATCACTGCCTCCTTCACTGTTATTATTGCTGCCTCCCTTTCCTTATTTGTGACTTGCTATTTAAGGCAGTTTCAGCCTAAAATATCATTTGACACTCGTGTAAAGTTATACTTAGAAGTTCATTTACTTGGAACCCAAATTGGTTTTAAATTCACATATTATGTTCTTGCTTTGTTATATTACACATCCTGAGCTATAGTTACCTGCGGAAAATTAGCAATAAACAGTTTCTTGCATAAGCAGTTTTTAGTGCAAAGCAAAACATAATTTTTTTCCCTCCTAGTGAATGTGAAGATGACTGTGGTTAAAGCTGCAGAGATCTTGTGATATTTCTAAATATTAATAGGATCTATTATTAGGCAAGTTTTTACCAATATGACAAGTGTGTTGCACTCGCACTGATCGTGAATGTTGTGAACATTTGTTTGCAGCCATCATGCTGTTTGTGAGATTTTACAACAATGCCTTCATTGTTATAGGCAACCCATTTTGACTACCAGATTGCTGTTATATTTTTTTAAAAAGATGAACAGGCAGATATGATGCTGCTAGCTTGAGAGGTGGGGGGGGAATTTGTGATGTCATGTACCCAGTAGCCAATCTCCTAATCGACCACCTTTCTCTACTATTTAGTAGCCAATCACATGCGCACTCCTCTTTCTCCATTGAGTCGAGGGCTACGTGGCATAGTTAAAATGTGTTGAACTATAATACAGCAATGATTTATTGAAATTGTGTTGTACAAGACCAATTTCACCAAATTTGCAGGCACTCGCCTTCATAATGAATAAATCACATATACTAGGCGTCTCTTGAAAAAGCCTCATTTTCCTTTTACTTACCACTTCTTGTACACGAGATTTATTCACCGTTTTCAAGTTTCCAAATATTGCACCTTGAGTTTGTGGCTGCTGCAACAAGTGGTGGTGTGTCTATTATGAGTAACATCACTCAAGCCTCAGCACTCAGCATGGTGGTGTGATCATAGTACAGTATTTTGTTAAAACTACACTATCATGAGAAGCTCTCACCGCTTGTTCCATCGACCCCAGTTTGTTTGTGTGTATGTATGTGTATGTATGTATGTATGTATGTATGTATGTGTGTGTGTGTGTGTGTGTGTGTAGCCTGTTCCAAACCGTCTTTGTAAATGCACGTAGTCATGAGACTTTTATAAGCATAATGATATTAATCTGGGAAAAGCACGATGATCTCCATCATTTATATATATAAATATATATATATATAAATAAATATATATATATATATATATATATATATATATATATATATATATATATATATATATATATATATATATATATATATATATATATATATATATATATATATATATATATATAATTATTATACCTAGACAGATGACCTGGCATTGGTGGTTCTCTTGTTGGTGTAGCTTAGCTCAGGTTGCCTCCATCCGTTACCTCACAATGTTACCGTTTTCTCTCGGGGTGTTTTGAAGCCCAGTCATCCATTTTCTTTAATACATTTTAAAACAAATGTAAACAAAATATGTATTGAATCACAGTGATAGAAAAATATTTTACTTTTATTCAGCAAATCTTTTTATTGTATATATATTGCTTTTATGACAACCAATGAGGTCCATAGTTCCCAGCAGTACAGAAGGTATTAATGACCGGTACCAACATGATAACCACCAACGATAGCCATATACGTCATTGTGCAGGGGAGTGTTGTCATGTAGGATACAACTGTTGTATTAGGCATTTACACAAGAAGTTTCCGATTCCTCAATTTAGAATTCATTTACCGGTAAATGGTTGTGCTTGCAGGCAGAATGCTCCTTTGTATGGGCCTTGTAAATAACAAGATAAATTTCATTACAATACATTGGTTTGAATTTGTAGTTTTATTCTCCTTTATGCAAGTTAATTTTAAAATATTTGATGGAATGTTTAATGAAGAATGCATCATTATTATACAGTAGCTGCCCATAATCAGGTAAACAATAATAATATTAAAATAATTAAATGTTTATAGTTTCTAAAATTAGAATTGGTTTTAAGAATACAATTTGGTTAGTTTGTAATCAACTTGTATCAAATTCAATTATAAGAATATATAGTAATGACCAAAAAAATTCGTCATCGGTATTTACTCGCCTCCGTTATTCTTTTAAATAATTTCTCAAACATCATACTGTAGATTGTTCTGATTGTGAAGAACACACACATTCAAGGAATTATTGCCTCATTCAACATCCACACCTCCAGAGATTGTCAAGGTTAAGAAAATAAATTCTATCTACAAAATGCATTAAATTATTGTACAATTAAGTAACTCATAAATAAGAAATAAATAAGATATAACAAATCCACAACTTTAACAGTATGTATAGAAAGTATTTGATTTATACATTTGATTGAAGACATTCTCATGCTACATACAAGTCACAAGTGCATCACAGATGCATCTCTAAAACTCTGCCTCAATCTTACAAGTAATATCAAAAGCTATTGTAGCTTGAGCACGTTCTATGTACAGTTTTTAAAATTAGTACTCGGCAAAATACAACATGGCAAAATAATACTTAAACACACACCCGCAACAAACCATCATCCACAACACCGAGTGGTGCCACCAGTCATCAGTATCGGAAATATCCAGGCATTACATCCAACAATATATGATGAGCATATTTGCAATATCTCATGTCCATAAAATATATTTTAATTTCTTTAATTACAAAAATACAAAGCCTTTGGAATGCTTGAAAGAATTGATAGTAGATGCCTTTAGAATCTACACTTAAACTTATTTACTTAGGACATAAGAAAATAAAAACCATTTTTACTTTATAAATTAGCTGCATGGATTAATAATATTGGTTTTGATATTCTGTAAATTACAAAACTAAAACAGCATGAGAAAAGACGAAGTGCACTTGAAAAATAGCAGCTTAGTTATGTTAACAAACCTTGAAGCACTAAGCTTATGCTGTAACAATCTTAAAAGTTAATATTCAATATTGTATTATTACCTGTGATGCATACATTTACACATTAGACTTTTAGCTCTTGTGCTAATGCAGTTTACAGTGCTGTTTTGTAGACTATATTAATGCCAATTGTGCTTGAAATTTCCATTTAAATTATTTTCTGGTGGCTATACCTTCTTTGTAACAATTTCCAATGCTCAATTTTGCATATGTATTGTACTGCCCATAATTGTATAAATACTGCAATAACCTTGAGATTCCCCATATAAAAATATTAAAATATATCACTGAATATATTGAACTTTGATCTTTAGGTATATATATTATACTCTAAAATGTAAATGTGTATTAATTTGCTAAATTACATGCAAATATACTGTACTGTATATATAATACTGAATATGACAGACAGGGTGAGATTAATGATTCTAGCATGAATCTCCTCTACATTTCTTACATTTTCTTCACTTTAGAAAGACATTGAAAAGTTAATTTTACTGTTTGATTATGACACTAAGAGATGCATGATGACCAAACCACACACCAGAAAGTGAAGAAACAAAGACGTTTCAGTCTATTCTGGACCATTATCAAGCCTTGTAGAAACTAGACAGAGTGATAATTGTCCAGGATGGACCAAAATGTGGTTTCTTCACTTTACATTGTGTGATTTGGTCATTTTATCTTCAGCCACGTTATTGTGACCCATTGTCTGCCTAAGAGATGCATTTCATTGACCCTGTCAACATTTTCAAAGACTACATACATACAAGTACATACAAGTGAATATAATTTGGCTTGAGCAGCTAAATACATAAATGAGAGTGAGGTGAAGTGTCACATAGACCAATAGGCCCACCACAACTTACCAATCTCCTGTGTTTCATTGATGACTGTTGCCATCCAACTGGGGCCTCAGCCATCATTAGCCCAGCCATACTGCCCAAGTCATTATTGAAACACAGGAGATTGGTAAGCTGCAGTGGGCCTAATGGCCCACTTGATACTTCAACGGTTGTCATATTGGCTGAATATGACGCGATTGAGTATTCAGCTGCAGCAGCCAAATTATATCCTTTGAAAATGTTGACAGGGTCAACAAACTGCATCTCTTAATCCGGCCACCTTACCTTACCTTGAAGCCACAATGAAACTGTAAAATAAACTTTGAAGAGTTAATTTTTCAACTTCCTTTTCAAGTGAAGAAAACCAAATACAGAAAATCTCACCCTTTCTGTCATATTCAATAACATGTTAACATGTATCTACAAGAAAGACTGGTACCAAAATTTATATACTGTATGTATATGTGTGTGTGCGAGTTAAACATATAGTACAGCATACTATATATAAAACTTACCAATTACGATACTTTTTGTGGAATAACTTTTACAACCTTTTAAAATGAAAAATAACAACAATGACATATTTACATAACAAAGAGGCAATTGTTCTGCCAAAGTGGGTCCAAAAATCTAAAGTTGAGCTATATAACATTAACAATATAACTGAACCATTGTACCAAAAGCTCCATATTTATTTGATGCATATACTGTATATACACATATGAATGTCTGTGCAAAGGTGGAGACGAAACACACTGAGCTAGCCTTGCCCAAATTTGTTGGGGAAATGGCCTAGGGTATGGGGTAGACATAGGCTGATCGGGGTAGGCTAAAGTTAAATAATTTTAAAAATACATTATTCGTACTTATTCACACCCATCCATTTCTCATGGATTCAATTCTGATCAAGTGTGAAATATTGGTTGAGATTCCTGAAGAGTTTTTCCATCAGAAAAATTGTCTCCTAAAATCCATACTCTAACTTCACTGCTCTCTAATATTATATTTTACGAAAGGGAAGATGGGCTAGGCTTAGGGAAGGGGCAGGTGTGGGGGGGGGAGGGGAAGAGTGAGGAGGAAGAAGGGAAGGGATTATATTTTATGAAAGAGACAAGGAGCTAAGTGGGATGTGAAAGATGAATGGAGGGAAGTAGAGTGTCAAAAGAATGGGGGGAGGGGAAGTGGAGAGGTTGACGGAAGGGTAGGAAGTACAAGGTTAGGGCACCGCCAGGTATGTGTGTGTGTTTTACCCAACGTTGTTTGGGTCTTTTTGTGTGTTCAGCCGTCCTTTTATATATTCATCTATCTACCCATCTATTTTCTTCTCTCAATATATATTATTAAGAACCACTGAAACAACTGTATGGGTCTAAGAAATTACTGTACATTGTTATGATAACTCCACATTAAACATATGCCATATTTCACACTTGACTATGAAAATGGCCTAGGAGTGTATATAATTGTTAATATTTCTTGAAGCATTTAACTTAGGCCAATCCCAACCAGCCTATGTCCGTCCCATATCCCACATCACTTACCCTGCAAATTTGAGTGAGGCTAGCCCCAGATGTTTGACCTCCAACTTCGAACAGACATTCTTAGAGGTATACTGTATATTCCTTTTTTTGAGGAGGAAGAGGTGGTCAGGAGAGGAGAATGCTCATATAGAACATCTACTGTTATATTTGTTTTAATCTTAGAACAGATTACTTTATTCAGCAGATGAATTGAAGAACACATACAAACCTACATTATTTAAAAAAAAAAATTGTGCGCATTGCCTGCTTTCCACATTACTGTACAAATGAATGTTAAGCTTTGAAAATGTTTCTTTCAAAACTCCTGCCCGGGAAGTGTGTGGCTCCTACTGCCTGATAAGCAAATTTGCAAAAAATACAAATTAAACTGTTTTCATACTTGACTCATTTGTAATTTAAAAGAAATACTGTATGTAAAGGAAAAAAAAAAGTTTCTTGTTACACAAATAATTTGTGAAAATCCAAAGTAAACATAAATTAAAACATCGTTAATATCTCTCCACATAATGGGACAAGAAAGGACATGCACACAATTGAAAACTTATATGAAAAGGGTTTACAATTTCCAGGGACACCTGACCAGTCACAACTGCTTCTGTAGTTCATAGCATTGTAAGACACAAGTACGACTACATTTTTGTATTAAAATCTTGAGGACAATTTTTAAATAACAAGAAACCAGCTTGTATATTGCCTCAGGATTGAACATTATTGTTGTAAATTATACAAAATATCATTTTGTGGATGAAATACAAGAATAGTATTTTTACACTATAAAAAAGTATAATAATAAGAATATATTATGTAGGAACAGAATGATTACAGTATCATAAAAGCAGGATACAGTATAAGAATACAATACAGTACTACTGTATTAAAGAACAGCATATAAATTTTGAGGGATACCTCAGTTTCTAAGTTGACAAAGGGGCTAAAAATAGTATGAAACTGCTAGATATATAAATGACAAGATTTAACATACTAATCAAGTGCAAGAGTGCACTAGAAGCATGTGAGAAGTCAATTATTCTGAATAGGAAACAAAGCTAAACACATTTCCTAAGTAACATCACATGCTTCCTGTAGTAATATTGGGACCAGTTGATCTACCCATAAAATCACACATCAGTATAATTTCAGGCAAAAAGTGCTAGAAATTTTATGTTTAAATAGTTATCTAAACTAATGAAATTTGTTTATATTTTTAATTACAAGATTCTTGTAAGAAACAAAAATTGCTAGTTTAAGCAATTTACCAAATTAAAATCTATTACTGATTAAAAATAGTCTGCATAACAAGTAAACATCAGTGAGAAACGTCTATGCTGCAACATCCTATATTGTTATCTAAGAACCAAACATCTCTTATTGTCCTAAACATCCCCCTTTTTCTCCCACCTAATCTTCCCCCTACAATCACCACATCCCTACCCTTCTCCTAGCATTCTTTTTAATCCCATACAATTTCATACCTTGTTCATTACTCTTGTAGCATCCTCATCATACGAGCCTGCTCATCGGGGTTGAACTGGTTTGCCACAGACCGAACCCCCCTCTCTGTCAGTGTCCAAGCCTTGTTCACGATGTAGTTCTTGAAGCAGAAGTAGGGCGAGAGGACCTCCTCAACGACAGTGTCGTCCACACGACCCAAGGAGCTCAGCCGTGTCACTTCCCTGATAGACGCTACACCGCTCTCGCCAGGCGCCTGAGAGAGGAGAGACAGTCAGAGACACTGAGATACAGTTATGGTAACAGTTACAGTGATGGATGGTAAGAGGTATAATGGTATTGTATACCATTATTGGGGACAGGTCCGTTAGGTCTACCTAGGTGCTTCTAGCCATGCGTGAAGCTGTCCATGCAGTCACCCATCCAGTACTGTACTGGCAATAGTTATATTGACTGACTTGCACAGTGATGTATTGACAATAATCCAGAGACAAACACACTACATGCAGGCTCACTGAGTTATGAAATTTATTAATCAATTCATTGTGTCAGGGGACAGGAAATGAGTGTATTCATACACGTTTGGCTTCTGCTAGGGGAAGAGAGGCATTAGGTGAAAGGAAATGTTCCCACCTGGGATTCGAACCTGGAATTCTCAATTGCATGTCGAGAACGAACCTGACTGTACTACCGGGATCCTCCTGGTAGTCATGTCAGATGCCTCTTGTGGCATCATGTTTATGATGCCACTTTAAATAATACTGTCAGGTGATTGTTCCAATTATATAGTGACAGTTCAAGTTATACAGTAAACAATATACTGATGATTCCAGTGATATATTAATGAATGAACACAATTTGAAAAAGTGATGCAGATTGTAAGAATTGTAAAAATGTAAGAATAAAGTAAGTAATTATCAAAAGAATTGCAATAATAAAACTAAAGTTAGATGGCATACATAGAAGAGTAGCCATGGTATACAAATTATCTTACTAAGAGCAAGCAAGATATCCAAGATAATCCTGTACCAAAAAATACAAGTTGTTGTTATTATTATAAAATGCTTGACATCCAGTCTAGATCAGCCTGCTGGCATAAAATACAAGAAATACAGGGCAAAGGAAATAATTACAGTACTAGTATACGTTAGTCATTAGTATGAAGGTAATCATTTTCAATAATTGGTAATGTGACTTGTACAGTGGCAGTATTGTGGCTATGCATCATCTCATCTCAAGATAACCTCAAGATGCAGGTTTCTTTCCTTTTTTTTGGGGGGGGGATATGTTCCAAAATTTTAATTTTAGAATTAGCCTACACTAAAGGACTAAAGGACTAATTAACCTCCTATTCCCTCCTGTATTGTATTCAAATCCACCAGCATCCATGCTGAGTTCATCAGCACCCACTCTAGACTCAACAAAAGCACTCGCCCACTAGACCCACCAAATCCCACCTTTGACCCACCAAATCCCACCTTTGACCCACCAAATCCCACCTTTGACCCAACCACACCCACCTTGCCAATAATACTGATGAAGACTGGTCGTATAAACTCCAGAACCATGTCAACAAAGGTCTTTGTGTCGTGTTTCTCCAACACCTGAGGCTTCTGTGGCTGTTTCACCACCTGTGGCTTGGGGCGCGAGACCTTCTGAGGACGAGGAGAAGCAAACAGGAGATTGAGAAGGTCGCCAAAACCCGGGGAGGAGGAAGCTGGTTTAGAAGCTGGAGGTGGCGAGGAGTTGGTGACAGGGGCACGTGTCGGTGGTGGAGGCGATGGCTTGCTTGCAGCGTTTCCTAAAGAAATACAAACACTCAAATTAGATTATAATGCATAAGCTTAACAAAATTGATGTAATAATAAAATTGATGGCATTTTAATAATGTTGAAGTAATTTTGTTGAAGGCATTTTAATGATGTTGAAATATATATATTATATATATATGTATAATGTAGCTAGTTAATTGTTTTGGGTGTTTAATGGGAGAAATGTCATACTTGTGTTCATCCGAGATACTGTAGTTTAATGGGCAAAATAGGTCCAGGAGCTATAAGCTGGAGTCCACTACAGGTATACCAGCTATGAGATAATAAATGTTATGAACAAATTGTGTATTTATCGAGACAAAAATAATTTGTCGAGAACCATTGGCCAACTCGGACACTTTCAAGTCAAGTAATATCTGAAGGGTAAGTCAAGGGATAAGGTCAGTTCAAAGAACAATCTTTGCCAGAGTAGCAAAAACACATTTGTTATTATGAGAATTCTGTTTAGGTTTTTTCTCATGCATTACATTATATTTCTACAAATTTTCTAAATTATTTCATTTGACCTTGAAGGATAATATTCCACAATGTTTTAACGTGTAACAATGTCATAAAAATCAAAGTTACATTTTTAGCCTAGAAAATTGTAAACAAATTGTGTTGCTAACCAGGTAGAGAAGACAGGTAGTTGCCCATGTAGTATCTGAGGAACTCTAGCACCATGGCAGTAATGGGAGAGGAGGCAGAAGCTCCTCCTGAAGAAGAACTGGATGGTCTAGGTGTGGTCTTGGTCGCAGGGGCAGGCTTCACGCTCAGGTCGGTCCATTGTGTTGGTTTACTGTTGGTGTTGATGGCATTGGAACTCTGGGATGGAGTCTGGACCTATAAATGTAGGCAAGTAACTTAGTATTTTAGTTAGTTTCGGATGTTATTAATAATTGTGAATGATTTCTTTCCAAGGTGTAAAAATGAACATTTTTAAGGTGAGAAAAGACTGCTCATAATCTTGGGGTAACGGGCAAACTCACGTGGGCGAGGTAGGGTCCGAGGGCCTGGGAGATGAAGGTGGTTATAGCTGATGACGGGTCGTCAGAGGTGTACACCTGGAGCACGAGGGGCATCACCTGTCTGATAATATCAGCATATTGCCTGGTGGTGGGCGACCCGTCCAGCATCCCAACCAGCCCGTTCACCACACTCTGTTGGTGGACACGGCTTTACTCAGGAGACAATACTCTGTGCTCACTCAGGGGGAGGAGGGAACCCATTGTGTGCTCACTCAGGGGGAGGAGGGAACCCATTGTGTGCTCACTCAGGGTGAGGAGGGAACCCATTGTGTGCTCACTCAGGGGGAGGAGGGAACCCATTGTGTGCTCACTCAGGGGGAGGAGGGAACCCATTGTGTGCTCACTCAGGGGGAGGAGGGAACCCATTGTGTGCTCACTCAGGGTGAGGAGGGAACCCATTGTGTGCTCACTCAGGGTGAGGAGGGAACCCATTGTGTGCTCACTCAGGGTGAGGAGGGAACCCATTGTGTGCTCACTACGGGGGAGGAGGGAACCCATTGTGTGCTCACTCCGGGAAAGGAGGGAACCCATTGTGTGCTCACTCAGGGGGAGGAGGGAACCCATTGTGTGCTCACTCCGGGGAAAGTGGGAGGCGTCACTCCTCGTATTCTAACACTTGATACAGAACAAAATTCAGATTGTGAACTGTACATGAAAATAATCACTTAAAAAAAATTAAATGATACCGAAATTGTAATTTTGTTTACATATTGCATAATTACAGTATTATTAAAATTATAATGTAGATTTTACTACACTAATATGTAAAAAAGTAATAAAACCTTTGTTAAAATCATATAAATAATTCTTGGTATGAAATGGCATGTATACATAATTAGCTGAAGTACTGTATTACTTGTAAAGTCTACGTGTGGTATTAATCATTTCACAGGGAGGTAAGCAGCACAAAATTTTAAAATTATAAATTTGTATTTCAAATTCAGCACACATTTTCAACATGCCTCACCTCTATAGCAGACATGCCAGGGCTCTTAGAGGCCAAAGCTCTGGCCTCCTGTAGAAGTGCGACGAATTTCTCCTCCAGGTCATGATGTCCCTCCAAGTCCCAGGCCTCGTCCTCCACCACCTCCAGGGGCGTGTGGCGCCGGATACGCTGCAGGGAGGAGAGGGCGCCATCCTGCTTAAAGAGGCTGAAGGTGGTGAACTCCATATAACACTGTCCCATAGAGATCTCGTCATTGTATGTCTGTGGAGAGACGAGACAAAGATCAGTCACCGGGTGGCAGAGAGAGAGTACATAGATTATTCAACAGAGGATATAGAAAGTCAATGTTATTAACATGAGTTATAATTATCAAGTCTGTACATCTTTTGTGTGATCAAAATTGGAATATGCAGCGGTTGCATGGTTTCAAGGCGTCATATGACAAAGTACTGTACTAGGAAGAGGGGAAACCACGAGTTTTCCTGTATTTCCTCTTATCCTGTAACGACATTTATATAATTACACTTGGGTAATTACAAACTACTAGGTAATTAGTGCTAGGTGGTTACTATTGGAGAGTGAGTTCTGGTTAGGCTCACTGACCTTCACTAAGCCCTGGACCTTGCCAGGCAGAGAGAAGATGTCAATATTCTTGACCATGTCGCCCACACTCTTGTAGCCGAAGAACTGTAGGATGTTTGCTAGCCACGATCCACCATCCTGCAGGAAGAAAACACAAGTTGATTATCCTAAAAGCACGTGCTCATTCATCTTCTGGGGCTTACCTGAGGTTTTTACTCACCATTTACTCACTCGCTGCTAATGCTCAGTTAATGCTCACTTACTCTCCTCCCGAGGTGCACTCACTCACTAACCTGAGACTCTGGCTTGGTGGCTCCCTGTATTTCGTTGTTCTCAATGGCGTTCTGGTTGGTATGTGTGTCTATCTTCCGATGGGCCACTGGTGTCTGGCGGTCCGCCGCCCGGCCCTCCTCTGTAGTCTCCTCACACCTGACAAACACATACATTATATGTGTTATACATACGACTGCAGTCTTGTGATGATTTATCGTCTATATAAAGTTAATAAATACCCGCGTGTTGGTCTTGGTTAAAATCCATTAGCCATTTCTCCGACTTTTCTGGAGTGTTTAGCTGATTTTGTAATGTACTGAAGTGCACCCCAGTCGTGATCCTTCTCATTCAGGATCATCAGCAAACACTGATGTGAATAAACGTGTTTTCCTCTATTAGATGATTTGTGTATTCTAGGAACAGGATGGGGGACTGATACTAATCCTTGTGCTGCTCATTACCTCTCGTCATCCTGATCTCTCTCTCCTCTCATGGTAGCTTCCTGCCTCCTTCCTGTAAGGTACACTTAACATAGTTAAGAACTTCCCCGAGATAGGAAATGTATATGTTTATCTCTCAGAATGTTCGGTAATATGTTTATTGGTTGTGATGTGTGTATATGTATGTATTAACACGATGTACTGAACGGGGTGAGAATAGCTTGAGCTACCTCATCCCTTTGTGTGTATTTTACCTCGATAAACTTATTTCAATTTTCCCGAGATGTCAGCATAATTTAGTTATGCTGACATATTATTCCTCACAAGCGACACGGAAGTCGCTTGTGAGGAATATTATCAGTCTGCGATACCATCTTCCTCGTGTGTGATTATTGTTGGCGTTGGACTCTTAATATTAAAGTTTGTCAATTTACCTTCACTGAATCCTTATTAATGCTTGAAGACTATGTGGAATACCACAGTGGAGCTCTAGGGAAGAGTTGAGACCTTAGTTGAATACCAGTTAGGTGCTTGTGAAGCCTTTTCTTATTACGAGTATTAGCCCGTCCTCATGAAAAACTGACCAAATGCTCGTTACTCTCCACATATGTCAGTTGCTTAATTTAGAAACTGTACTTGTGGTCGATCTCGAACCCATTTATGATGTGACGACTTGTACTGAATTTTGTAATTAGCTCATCAAGATTGTAACTTGCTTAGCTAAATGAATTGTGGGGTTCAGTCACTGAGCCCATTATGTGCCTCTGTAATCCGTTCCACTACCGCCCACAAGATGGGTATGGGGTGCATAATAAGTGAACTAAACTACTAATTCGTTAATCCAACCATTTATATGACAACATTATATTAAATAACACATTTGTTCAGACTTTCGCCGACTAGCGCATCGCTGCACTCCTGAATGACAGCCGCGCCTCCGTAACTGCTTCACTCACCTACTTCAAATACAATTACCAATAAAACCAAACACTTACCCTAACTTATCCTAGGTCTAAATTGTAATATACAAATATGAATATATATATTCTCGTGAAAATATAGTTTTTGATTACATAGTATTGTACGTTAAAACTAACGAATGTTTCTGAACCTTAAATATCATGCAAGGGATAGAGAACTACTGTGGATAGATACTGCGGGAGAACTACTGTATCTAGCCACTATGATTTGCAATTTTTATGATATACGGTATGTACTGGCTAGTTGTAGCGACCCAGAAGGTCTCAGGCGGATAGAGTAGTAGAGAGTTTGCTATGACGAAGTCTATTATCACTACAAAACAGCATGAAATGTGTTTATCATATTCTGTCACACTACGCAAGTAATCCCTACTCCCCCCCACCCTCCCCTCGGCTTTACCGTTTTATACAGTGTGTGCTATTTGACACATATTTTCCATCGCTGACCAAATGGTCGGGAGGTAAGCGCGGAGACGTTCTCAGCTGTCGACCCTCAGTGCTGTGGTGGAGCTCTGCCACACAGCGGTCAGAGAAAGCTGGGCTTGGGGAAGGGGGAGATATCTAGGTGGCACGCACACTGCACATGGCTGCTGGGCGGACTGAGGTGTATTGCAACATGTCTCGCTAGTCTTCCGTAATCAAATCCTTAGCCCCAAACACACAGTATTAGAGTAAATATGATGGGAGTGGCTACGACGCCGACCCTCCCTACAATACACTCAAGTTGGCGGCTTTGTGTTCCCGTCGAGGCCAGAATACAGATGGTGGCCCTACGGTAAATTAAAATAAAACATACTTAAAGAAAATTAACTTCACAACAATACTAACATGGCTACAAATAAGAAAAATCCTGTAAATCAAAACTATTATATTTAAACAATACAATGACAAGGATTGACGAGAAAGTAAAGCGTGATGGACTGCATAATATTAGTCAGAATCACACTAAGAAATCATACTGACGTGATATCATTATGCGAATATCATTGGAGCACTCATGGGACTCGAACCAGCATTTTGGGTCTCCCCAGCTGCACCCTTTAACCCAATGGACCATGATATGCTATTAAGTAATTTAACCTGGAGTTCTACTGAATCCCCTTGGGGGGTTTGGGGCAAGTGTAACCATCAAGGAAGGCTAAATCTTGGTTTTAAAAGCAGCAAGTCCACACGCTCACTAAATCTTTTTCTCTCTCTCTCCCATCCCTCCTACTAACCAGACAGGGGTGGAGGTGGTATTGCTGCAGCAGACCTGGGCGCTGCGCTGCTCAGAGGCGGGGTACCAGTGCTGGCTCCCGCACACACTGTAGAAGGAGGCGGTGTGAGCTGGAAGAGCATCGCACGGCAGTTCCTGGCGTGGGTGGTACTCCTCCAGGATCTGTGGCTGCGTCCTGAACACCTGGTTGAGCGCCACGACCTGCGGAAGATGAACGATTATTATTCACTTTGTTGCTGCAGACGGCCAGGCCACTGAGGCAAGAGGGCGAGAGGCTGGGAACCGAGCGAAGAGAGGCAGTAATAACGCCAAGATAACGCCCTAGAGCTACACAACAAAGATGTCAACAGAAAGATGGAAGAAACCCCACACAAACCAGCGTTAAATATCACTCATTCTCTGAAGTTCGCAGTGATATTCCCTCCTTAGATGCGACAAATGTATCTATCCATTCACCTCAATTATCCTCTCTTATCAAACTTCCCCCGCCCCCCTATCTTAAATGGCTATCTTGAACCATCTCCCCACTCTACCCCTCCCCACACCTGATTTACGACCTACTCAGCCGTTCCAGTATTCCAATCTGGATCAGCTATTCAATCCCCGACCGTCCACAAGTGGTTGGCCACCATTCCTTTCCCCTTGACCCATCCCAAATCCTTACTTATCCTGATCCCCTTCCAAGTTCCATATAGTCGTAATGGCTGGGTGCTTCCCCCCCCCCTGATAATTCCCTCCCTGCCCTAGCGGCCGTCTGGCTCACCAACTATTGTTTACAACCCAGATCCGGGACGAGTACTTGCAAGCAACTCTGGTTCAGTCTACCTCACATCCGGGTCCTCCGCGTCTTCCGCCACCAGCCATCGCTGAATCCACCGACGGTGAATCCACTAACAAATTTGTGCCTTTCTCTTTTAGGTTAGGAGCTACATTTGTTTTTGTTTGCAAACAAGCTTTTAAGAGCAAAAAACTTCCACCAATTAAGAGGTATTACTGGTACACCGGTGAGGTGGTTCGTGTGTTTGTGATTTAGATTTCATGCAATTTGATTTTGATTGTAAGATAGCGATGTTCCAGCCTTTTGTATCTCCGTTTTCTTTAATGGAAGATCTCCCCCCCCCCTTCTTATAGAGAACTGATCTTGACTCAAAGTCACAGCCCCGCTCCTGTGCCAGGTAAGTCCACTACGGGCTCACCCATAGCCCGTGCTACTTGCCCCGCTCCTGTGCCAGGTAAGTCCACTACGGGCTCACCCATAGCCCGTGCTACTTGCCCAACTCCACTACGGGCTCACCATAGCCCGTGCTACTTGGAACTTTGTGTTCCCAGTAGCTGAATCTAAAACAACAACAACAATTGAATCAGATATAGTCAAGCCGGGCACAAAATAATTACTTGAATTTACCCAAAACCCACTAACACTAGTGGCTTCGACGAGGACAGGAAGCTGGCGGCTTGTCAGAGGTCTTCCCCATTTGATCTGATGATCTCCCCAGCTGGATTTAAAACTGAACAGAGTTTAGGCATTTAGATAATTAACAGTGAAATTACTGAATATCTGTACAGCTTCTAGTGTTAGTACATTATTGGCTCAGTCACTGATCTAGACTGTGAAGCAGTATCCTCCCCCGCGATAACAGCTTGATGGGTAAATGCAAACTCAATACTGAGAAAAAAAAAATTGTACCACTTACGGGCTATTCATGCCCGTGCCACCTCTTAGGTGGCTTAATCTTCATCAATCAATCAATAGTCTATTGGCTTACGGGCTATTCATGCCCGTGCCACCTCTTGGGTGGCTTAATCTTTATCAATCAATCAGTCTATTTCCATCCTCCATATGCACTGACGCATTCCATCGAGCCAGAATTATGACTATTCCGTCGCAATATTCAGAATTCAGGCTAGAATTAATTTTTTTCCTGAAACATAAAACCCTAATGTTAAATATTTTATGATTATTACTATCATTATCGAAACTTCATTATCATTATTTTTGCATTTATAATTAACACACACGTTTATTCAAAGTCGAGAGGCGGGACCCAAGAGCCGAAGCTCAACTCTCACAAGCACAACTAGGCGAGTGCATGATGGGAGCTATACAAGTGAGGCCGAGAGAGAGATTTTGATGCCAACTTTACTGATGAAGTAGTGATCCAGCAGGCTGTTCCCACCATGTGACAAGCATACCTGCAGTGTACCTGGTCCATACCTGGAGAGGGTTTCGCAAGTTCTACTACTCCCCGAGCCCGGCCTGGCGACTTGCGATAACTTGGTCCAACAGGCTGTTGCTTGGAGCGACCCGCAGGCCCACATATCCACTACAGCCTGGTTGGTCTGGAACTCCTTGCAAGAAGCTGTCCAAGTGTCTCTTGAATACATCCATCTTCGTTCCGGCAAGCATCAAATGTGTTGTGGTATAGTTGAGCTAGAAGCACACACACCTAGACAACCACCTACACATCCAAGACCTTGATCATCAGTGTGAGAGAGAGAGAGAGAGCGTGAGAGGCGAGAGAGAGAGAGAGTGAGAGGTGAGAGAGAGCATGAGGGGTGAGAGAGAGCGTGAGAGGTGAGAGAGAGAGCGTGAGAGACACTACCACATGAGCGCCCCAACACACACCAGTAACACTCAGTGAGAAGGTGAAGGAAGCAAGGCGCAGGCCATGTCACACAAATAAGTGAAAGTACTACCATTACATCCATGGTAGCGACCATGGCATTTCATCCTCCTCCACTCATGGTAGCTCATCCTTCCCCCACACATCCCCTCATGGCAGCACATCCTCCCCCAGAAATGAGAGATCACCTCCACCTCTTCTCGTGGCGTCTGGAGGAGGTAGAGAGCGTATATACTTTACATTCCTTCCCCTCCTACCCTGCAGGAGCCACAACATGGACAGGAGAAATGAGGCAACACTACCACATGAGGAGAGAGAGAGAGAGAGAGAGAGAGAGAGAGAGAGAGAGAGAGAGAGAGAGAGAGAGAGAGAGAGAGAGAGAGAGAGAGAGAGAGAGAGAGAGAGAGAGAGAGAGAGAGATAGCAAAGGGCGGTAGGGAGAAACGGCAGAATGGAAAGAAAAGAAGAATAGTGAAGGGAAAGAGGGAGGGAGAATGAAACGAATGGTTGGTACAAGGACAGAAGGGAGGAAAGGTGAAGTGAACCAAGAGTTGTACGGGAGAGAGGGCGAACTGAGGGTATAGGCCTACCTGCGGTACATACTAACAATAACACGATAATAAGCTAAACAACAGCAATTACTGACCATCTTCAAGTAATGACGTTGTCTTAACACGTAACACACACGTGTAACCCCGGGACCAAATGCTCCCTAAACAACCCAGTGATAACACTAGTTTCTTACATTATTTCCATAAAGGGAAAACAAAATGCCATCAACAGAGCACAACACGGCCTTGTTATGGTGGTGTCGAGGACATGTTGAGGACATGAAAACTTCGCTACTTCCCTGCAAACACAAACCAAAACTGTCTCTATTTTCCGCTTGTTACAACTTGACATAAAGTTGTTACATCTTGGCTTAACGTGTTTATGACGTATTAAAACGTTGTTACAACTTGCTAGATTGGTTGTTATAACTGGTTAGGAAGTGTTAAAACTTGTTCGAACGTTGTACCAACGTTATAGTTTCGGTGTGTGTTTGGCGGGTTGGGTATAGGCGCCCTTTTGAGGGTCATTAAGACCACCACAATACCTTAACTGACCAAACAAGTCTACCTTAGTCCTAACATAGTCTAGGGATAAAGTAATTCCCTAAACCTAAATTGTTGTAGCCATGACGACACCCTTAACGGGTGTAAATGGTACTCCCCCCCCCCTCTCTCTCTCTCACACACACACACACACACACACACACACACACACACCAGTTGATTGACAGTTGAGAGGCGGGACCAAAGAGCCTAAGCTCAACCCCCGCAATCACAATTAGGTGAGTACACACACACACACACACACACACACACAACACACACACACACACACACACACACACACACACAGGATCCGGGACCTATTAGGCATCTACAGTCACTCAATCCTGCACACAAACACACACACACACACACACACACACACATGTGTCATGGTAACATTCACATTAAAGGTTTTTAATTACAGGAAGTACGTTAGAAATTGCACCCAGCTGAGAGCCTCCAAGCGTAACAACGGCCGGGAGAAAATTCAACTACTCTTAATATTCTTAAGTCTGACCTCCAACCCTATTTTCTTTTAAATCTGTTGTTGCCATTCCAGGCTCCTCTTGAATATCTCTTAAATAATACAAATACTCAATCAATTTCAGACAAAAGCTACGATAAAGGAGGGAACAATCAAAAGCCCATCTACAAACAATCACCGCGTCATTGACAACAGTCGACGTAAACAAGAGCGTGGTGGCGGGACTCCGCCCACTGAATGAATGAAATCACGTTGGTCTTCTTGCCAACACGTGCTCCCATATTTAATTTTCCCTCCCCCCCCCCTTACTTTCTTTTCTGAATTACGACGTCAGCGACTTCCTCCAAACCTTCATCAACCTCTATGTTTTTCTTTTTTTATTGGGGGGGGGGGGGGGGGAGAACTTTCTCGCCAAAAATATGTATATATTTATTTATATAATCTACAAAATACGTGTACAGCACTAAGTAAAAAAATAAGTCATACATTAACCATGTTTTTTAAATTAATTTGAGCCATATAGAGAGAAAGGAAGGAAAGGAGGGAGAGGGGGAAAAGGGGGGAGAGGGGGAAAGGGGGGAGAGGGGGGAAATGGGGGGGAGAGGGAGGGAGGGAGGGAGGTTCTTTCACCCTGATGCTCCTGTTTACCTAGCAGTAAATAGGTACCTGGAAATTAGACAGCTGCTACTGGCTGCACCCAACCACTCGGGGTAGACGGTAGAGCGACGGTCTCGCTTCATGCAGGTCGGCGTTCAATCCCCGACCGTCCACAAGTGGTTGGGCACCATTCCTTCCCCCCGTCCCATCCCAAATCCTTATCCTGACCCCCTTCCCAGTGCTATATAGTCGTAATGTCTTTGTGCTCTCTCCTGACGGACCTCTATTGGAACTATCCAATAGTTCCAATGACCTCTATTGGAACTATCCAATAGTTCCAATGACCTCTATTGGAACTATCCAATAGTTCCAATGACCTCTATTGGAACTATCCAATAGTTCCAATGACCTCTATTGGAACTATCCAATAGTTCCAATGACCTCTATTGGAACTATCCAATAGTTCCAATGACCTCTATTGGAACTATCCAATAGTTCCAATGACCTCTATTGGAACTATCCAATAGTTCCAATGACCTCTATTGGAACTATCCAATAGTTCCAATGACCTCTATTGGAACTATCCAATAGTTCCAATGACCTCTATTGGAACTATCCAATAGTTCCAATGACCTCTATTGGAACTATCCAATAGTTCCAATGACCTCTATTGGAACTATCCAATAGTTCCAATGACCTCTATTGGAACTATCCAATAGAGGTCTCCGTCGTCCAAGCAAAGACTATGTAAAAGAGGACATTGGACCTCATTTTGACCCCATACCAGGGCTTTGGGAACCAGGTCATGGCCATTAACGAGATAACGACCCTATCTTGAGAGTCATCTTGAGCTTAACGAGCCACAGGGAAGAGTTTGCGAGGTCATTAATCACCGAGGTACTTACTCCCAGTCACAATAACTCCCAAAACACAACAGTGGCTACAATAAGGTCGTCCGTCAACAGGGATTCAGAGGGACTGAACGACCACACTAAACAAGGTCACGAACACCACAAAAAATGACTGGGAAAAGGTCAAAGTCAGAGACCATCACGGAATGTTCCTCTTGAGAGACGTGTAGATAACATGTGCATTTTGTGTAGTGTGTGGAACAGACAGACACGACCTCCATGTCTTGTGCACACTGAGTGTACACTTGTACACCCCTGAAGGTCTAGTCTACACCTTGGTGGTACACACGACTGACAAACACAATGGATAGTTATGATTGTGAGGGTGAGTGAGGGTGAGAAGATGCGTCTGAAAGTTGTTGACTGTATTTGGGTCATACCTCTTCCCCCCCAATCCCCCCCCCCATATCCTATACTCCCCCCCTTACACCACACACACACCCCAAGCCCCATCTCCTACACTGCCCCCCTCTATACAATACATACAATACGTAATACATCTGTTATACAATGTATGCACTAATAACCTGAGCTTGTAAAAGCTTAACCACCTTCAGTGGTTACGTGTTTAATATCACACTAGTTTCTATAGAAGCTATCTTGTCCTGTCAAAGATGGAGAGACATAGGTGTATGTATGTATATGTGGATGTGTGTAGGTATGTGTGTTATATGTATATATGTGTGCATTTGTATACAGGGGTATGTGGAAGCTGGTCAGACTTGCATTTCACCTTTGTAAACACACATTACACTGTAAAAAGACACCTCCAACACTGTTTATGTAGGACAGACTGTTACGGACCCGAGCCCAGCGTCCGAGCACGGAGCAGTGACAACCGCGCCATCTGTGGGTCAGCTCCCGAAACACCCTCCGAATGGACGACGCCATCTAGTGAGGACGAGATATACTGGCCACAAGGGCTAGTTTCCCGTCCTGATCAGCTCATAACACAGCCGCTGCTGACCTCTGGTGAGGTGACGCTTAGACAGCAACGCCATCTATGGAGTGGATAGGTGGGCGTTTGTGTCTAAGCCTGTAAGTGAGGTGCCCTAGAGTGTAACTAGTACTGATGACGTGTCTGATTACAGAGTCGACCTGGGACTGCTGTAATGAACGTTGGATCAGTCTACCCAAGGCAGCCGTAGAATCTCCAAGTGTTAGCTGCAGAAGTTGTGAGTCACCCCCCGGATGAACACTGTTGTGTTAGCCTGCCTGTGACGTGGCAGTTGAGGATTTGTCGTACCCGGGGCTGACTGGAGGAGAAGACTAACCACTGGGGTGTTGTGGCGAGGAGAGTGATCTGTGGGATCACACGAGGCTCCTGCCTAGGGCTCGCAACCCTAGTATCGGTCGTGGAGTGGCCTAACCTGTGGAACTGATTGGAACCTGCCAGCTACAGGCTGGATTTGTGGTTGAAGGCCTCCACCACGGTGCCCCCAGTGGAACTGTGATTTGGCTGGCCTGTGGCCAGGGTAGACTCGAGAGAATCGTGATTCATCGTGAGGCCACAAGAGGACCAAGAGCTAAGCATCGTTGAGCACCGTGGAACACTCCGCGTCTTCAGAGGAAGACCAGATTGTATATAATAGTGTTTATACCTCCCCCGTGTGATAAAATATATATTATTTATGGTGACGGTGATAATTATATATTTAAGTTTTTGCCTTTGTCTCCCTTCCCCTTTAATTTACTTGCGTTACGGAACACACCCCTTGAAAGTCACTACTAACTTGGGGCCGGATACCCAAACTCTATTAACATCGGAGAAAGAACCCAATTGCGACCCAAGAGGGCCGTAACACAGACGTAAATCTGTGTGCTTATGTTTGTACGTTAGATTAGCATTTTAAAAGCACTACAGTCACCTTCTGTGGTTGATTGTTCAATACATCACTGAACTATATGTTCATCAGATCTCTCACCCTGTCCATGGAGGACAGAAGAAAATTTTGTAACTAGCTCATCAAGATTGTAACTTGCTTAGCTAAATGAATTGTGGGGTTCAGTCCCTGAGCCCATTATGTGCCTCTGTAACCCTTTCCACTACCGCCCACAAGATGGGTATGGGGTGCATAATAAACGAACGAACGAGAGAGAGAGAGAGAGAGTGAGTGAGAGTGAATGTGTGTGTGTACTCACCTAGTTGTACTCACCTAGTTGTGCTTGCAGGGGTTGAGCTCTGGCTCTTTGGTCCCGCCTCTCAACCGTCAATCAACAGGTGTACAGATTCCTGAGCCTATTGGGCTCTATCATATCTACACTTGAAACTGTGTATGGAGTCAGCCTCCACCACATCTCTTCCTAATGCATTCCATTTGTGTGTGTGTGTGTGTGTGTGTGTGTGTGTGTGTGTGTGTGTGTGTGTGTGTGTGTGTGTTTTGTCTGTCTGTCTGTCTGTGTGTGTGTGCGCACGCGCGCGCATTTACCTCATAACAGCGACCAAAGTCATTGTATAACGCGGCTGTCATTTTCTCTTCTAACCTACTTAGCCACGTGGCTGTGTGCCCACCTGACAGCCCCCCCTTTAGAGGAGAGGTGGGGAGGTTATCTTGAGGGGGTGAAGGGGGGGGGGAGAGTAGAAGAGGGTAAGGGAGGTAGGAATGAAAGGGAAGGGGGTTGGGACACAGAAGAGGGGGAGGGAATAAGTCATTGTGTCGGGGGGGGGGGGGGGGGGCAGGAAGCCTGCATGTATTCATACAAGGTGAACACCCCCCCCCACCCACACAAGAAGCTGACTAACTCCCCCGTACCTACTTACTGCTAGGTGCACAGAGGCATTAGGTGAAAGGAAATGTGCCCAACCATTCTTGTCCCGCCCGGGATTCGAACTAGGAATTCTCGATTGTGCATCGAGAACGAACCCGACTGTACTACCAGGGCTAGTGGAGGAGGGGGTGAGGGAGAGAGGGAGAAAAGGGAGAGAGAGGGAGGGAGGAAGGGCCAGTGTCGTCGTCCATACTAGACCAAGTAATCTCAGGTCACTAGCCTCTCAGGACACGCACCGTCCTAGTCTATACTGGAGGAAACAAATGCTTACCGCCCTCGCCCCCCCCCCACACGTCTCGCATTAAATAAATAATAAATAAATATGTTTATTCAGGTAAGGTATATACATACAAGTGATGTTACATTAATGGATTGATATATAGATAGAGCTAGTACATACAATGCCTAAAGCATTACGCCTTATCACGTTACTGAGACAACAATTAACTCCGGCATATACTCACCTCCTCCTCACAGCGCCTCCTACAGTCCTGACTGGCCTGCCGGGCGTCGGAGCAGTTCACCTGGTAGGTCTTACTGGTGGAGAAGGCCAGGTGATCCGGCCGCCATGTTTGTGACGTCACCAGGAAGAGGCCGCAGTGGCAGTGCGCATGCGCGAGGCTGCCCGCCATTCCTATCACCGCTCCCATTAACCACATTAACATGTCTGCTGAAGGAGAACAATTACACATTAACACGTCTGCTGAAGGAGAACAATTACACATTAACATGTCTGCTGAAGGAGAACAATTACACATTAACACGTCTGCTGAAGGAGAACAATTACACATTAACATGTCTGCTGGAGGAGGACAATTACACATTAACATGTCTGCTGAAGGAGAACAATTACACATTAACACGTCTGCTGAAGGAGAACAATTACACATTAACATGTCTGCTGAAGGAGAACAATTACACATTAACATGTCTGCTGGAGGAGGACAATTACACATTAACATGTCTGCTGGAGGAGGACAATTACACATTAACATGTCTGCTGGAGGAGAACAATTACACATTAACATGTCTGCTGGAGGAGGACAATCACACATTAACACAAAACATTCTTCACATCTGAAAGAATTATTGTGTAACATTTTAATGACACATTTAATTGAATGTTGGTAGAGGTCATGAGTAGTTAAGCATATATAGGTCCTAATTGGGGGGTTGAATTTACAGACTATAGGCCTACCGTCCGGTCAGACAGTAAGGACACTGATTAGCGATCGATTTTCTAGAAAAAATGGACAAATTGGATTTTAAAAACGGCATCCGTCAATCATTAACACAGATGTTCTTAAACAGATATATTAGTTCAGCGGTTGATACTCAACATATAGGAATACGTGAGACAGACCCGTCTGTCACAGGGGGTAGTGAGACGGTCTGTCACGGGTGACAGTAGACGGTAGGTATCTTTAAGAGTGAGTGCGACTCCAGATGACACCTTCCAAAGTCACACAAAGTGTTGTCGTAGTTCAACCCGTCTCTGACTCGAGTCCATTCCATCCAGCGGTCGACCCCACGGACGCATTATTAAATTCTTACATGCTGTTCATTCAAAACGGTAATTTTCGCAAATGTAAATATTATATTGGCATATTGTGCATATATATAGGCTTAGGTTAGGTTAGGTGTTTAGGTTCTGTTGGCGATTATTTGTAGTACGTGGGTGAAGTATTTACAACGTTGTGGCTCGAACAAAATTCGTCAGTGAAGCACTTGTTCCGGAAGTGTTCGAACGAAATCAGTTGCGAGTCGTGTGTAAACTGTTTTTCATTCATAAACCATCTGGGAATGAGCGGGTGCATGGAATCACTTTTGGATCTTTGGAGGACGGGCTAGGAGGTTACTAGACTGATTGGATTAAAATCCGCCAGGAGCCGGCGGCTGGTCGGACTGTTACGATATATCGTATCGTGTTATTTCATCGCATAAAGGCACGATTATTTAAGTCATACGTTCATTATTACAGGAAGAACGAGGTTAACAACCATGGAGGTCGTTAACTGTCAGCACGGTATGGCTCGTCCGGTGGCGGGAATTTCTGTTAGCCAATCAGAACCACCGGGCGAGGTAACGTGTGCTGGCCGGAGCATGTGGAGAGACAGACATCTACTCCCCTCCATTGAGTCAACAGGCTGTCGTCGCGTTTGGATGTGTGACCAACGGACCCAACTGTTAGTGTGCTCCACCCTCATGAAGGAAGAGGACCTCGAGGCATGGTCGACGTTCTTGAAAGTTATGGAAGATAACAGCTTTGAGATTTAGAGGTCGGCGTGGAGGTAACGCGCTGATTTTCCTGATAGCGGTACAAATTGCAGGAAAGTAGATGATTTATAAGTGGGAAGATCAATCGGACCAGAGACGACCGTAGCATGGTCGTAGTATCTCTATGTCGTACCTAATAGCCAGAACGCACTTCTCAGCCTACTATTCAAGGCCCGATTTGCCTAATAAGCCAAGTTTTCATGAATTAATGTTTTTTCGTCTACCTAACCTACCTAACCTAACCTAGCTTTTTTTGGCTACCTAACCTAACCTTACCTATAAATATAGGTTAGGTTAGGTAGGGTTGGTTAGGTTCGGTCATATATCTACGTTAATTTTAACTCCAATAAAATAAAATTGACCTCATACATAGAGAAAAGGGTTGCTTTATCATTTCATAAGAAAAAAATTATAGTAAATATATTAATTCAGGAAAACTTGGCTTACTAGGCAAATCTGGCCTTGAATAGTAGGCTGAGAAGTGAGTTCTGGCTACTAGGTACGACATATATATATTTAACTGTACTTGTGTACAATGCACACACACTAATATATATATATATATATATATATATATATATATATATATATATATATATATATATATATATATATATGTCGTACCTAGTAGCCAGAACGCACTTCTCAGCCTACTATGCAAGGCCCGATTTGCCTAATAAGCCAAGTTTTCTTGAATTAATATATTGTCTAATATTTTTTTATGAAATGATAAAGCTACCCATTTCATTATGTATGAGGTAAATTTTTTCTTATTAGAGTTAAAATTAACGTAGATATATGACCGAACCTAACCAACCCTACCTAACCTATCTTTATAGGTTAGGTTAGGTAGCCGAAAAAGTTAGGTTAGGTTAGGAAGGTTAGGTAGTCGAAAAAACATTAATTCAAGAAAACTTGGCTTATTAGGCAAATCGAGCCTTGCATAGTAGGCTGAGAAGTGCGTTCTGGCTACTAGGTACGACATATATATATATATATATATATATATATATATATATATATATATATATATATATATATATATATATGTATGTATGTAAAATATTGTATATAAGGTGATAAGAGATATATCCATGATGAAGTTTTATACCATCTTATTTTCTTGTCCTTTGTCAGACCTCAGCACACAGTGTGTCGCACCTGACAACAGGTCCGGCTGAGGCTGACACCTGTTCAGATTCATGTACCCCGTTGTAGTACAACGAAGCATTAGGATAAACATTCAGAATAAACCTAAATTAAATGTGTTGGGTTGTCAACAGTTCGATCCCAACACAGAACACTTGACGCGTGATCTGTGGTCCCGGGTTCGATCCCGGGCACCGGCGAGAAACAATGGGCAGGTCTCTTTCACCCTGACGCCCCTGTTACCTAGCAGTAAATAGGTATCTGGGAGTTAGTCAGCTGTCACGGGATGCTTCCTGGGGAGTGGAGGCCTGGTCGAGGACCGGGCCGCGGACACTAAAGCCCCGAAATCATCTCAAGATAAAAAGATTGCCAGGCCAAGATTCATTAAACATTTAAGCAACCACCTTACGAAACCGGTACATCTTTCAACAATCATGGCGGCTTTGTTTACACTTTGTAAACAATTTATGAAGTCTGAAGCTACCCCTAAGCTATTTATATACAACCAACGAGGTTGTTTATAACAATAATAACATTGGGTTCTGAGGTTCCAAACTTGTAAACTGTTCAATATATGTAAACAAAGCCGCCATGATTGAGCAAGATGTACAGGGGCCAGATTCACGAAGCAGTTACGCAAGCACTTACGGACCTGTACATCTTTTCTCAATCTTTGGCGGCTTTTTACAATTATTAAACAGTTAATGAGCTCCGAAGCACCAGGAGGCTGATTATAACAATAACAACAGTTGATTGGCAAGTTTTCATGCTAGTAAACTGTTTAATAAATGTAACCAAAGCCGTCAAAGATTGAGGAAAGATGAACACGTTCGTAAGTGCTTGCGTAACTGCTTCATGAATCTGGCCCCTGATACTTGTACCCCTGTTCCGGCCCAGCCAACCTCCCCCAGCACACGCCAGGTGGCGCCTCGGCTCCCTACGCTGCTAGACCAACCTGTCGTCCTACATAGACCGTCGCATTTCGATCGTATGCGTTACACAAGGCCAAAAATTCCCCCTACTATAAAATGGAAGCGGCTGGCGAAAGTGACGTACTGTCCCGTTTTCTGTTTTGGGTCCTCTAGTAGGCTAGGGGAGACCACTTTAAATTATCCGTTTTCTTAACGTTGTGAAACATTAGAAGAACGGGCTGGATAAACAACACTAGTTTGTTTTTCTGTTACAGAACTGTTCCCGGCAACATGACTGTACCAGGCAATTGGCGAGGATGTGTTGCAGAGATCTGACTCATGTTGACTAATGGCTGAGTGATGTGTTGAAATCTAAAGCGTATTGAGGTGTTTCCTCTCTACCGTCTCATCCCCATTCATTCCTACTTGGCATGAGGTAATTACTGGCAGGAGGGGAGAGGTATGGGCTGGGAGATATGGAGGGGTCGGGGGAGAGAGGTGGGGAGGGGGAGAGAGATGGGGGGGAGGGGGAGGGACGAGGTAAGGGGGGGGGAGCTGCACATTCCTCTGTGGGTCACTAACACAAATTATTCTCCACAGACAAGCTCAGAGCACTAGTCCGTGTAAGGGGGGTGGGAGGGGGGATCTTGGTTAGGGGAGGGAGGGTATGAGACGGAGGAGAAAGGAAGATGAAATAGAGGGGAAATGTAGTTAGAGAGACTAAGGGATGGAAGGGAAGAATAATGATGCCAGGCCGCCGCCGCAGACTGAGAGCCACATTAACATGGATGCCGACGGCTCACCAAGCCCCCCCAACCACGTCAACCTCAACCACGTCTCCACACGCCAACCACGTCCTGCCCCCCCCCCCAAACCGAACCACGTGCCCACACCCTCACCGACGTCTACCTCATGGTGAAGAGCGGAAGAGTTGACAGGGGGACGGGGACGACACAGACGGTGGTGGACGAGGTCGTGGATGCCGCAGGTGCTCTGGCCAGACAACACACCTCTTATACTGGCCCTGGCCCAGGCACCTCCTATTTGAATCCACCCGAAAACTCATTCCTACACCATTTGGTCACCACTTGGTCCGGGAGACATCTCCCGTCACGCAGGGTGCAGTTGCGCCTCCACAGATCTCCAGTATCATCTTTTGATACTGGTAATGGCTCGAAAGGGCCACCACTTACGGGCTATTCATGCCCGTGCCACCTCTTGGGTGGCTTAATCTTCATCAATCATCAATCTCATTCCTACAAGTCTAACCGACGCTTCAAACAACCCAGCGCTGCCCCGTTTATTGTCTTACCGGTAATTTGTACCATAGCTA